AAAGACAGAAATTTTTCCAGTTCGACGAGAGTGACCGAAAAGTTGTAAATTTTGGAAATTTCCGTGGACAACACCTGGTCCTAAAACGAATTAGTTAGAAAACAAATGACTATTATGTTTAACATACGAGTATTTAGATTTTTACAGCTATGGTGAGAAACGTTTAAAATCTACAACAGCCCTGTCGCGTCCTTTCAGATATACTAATGATGCGACAAAAGAGGTATTTGAATTGACCGGTATCGGCACCCTGGGGATTTGGCAGTGCGTGCATGCACGCTCTGCAACCGTCTTCGATTCCATTCATTAGCCACTCGTAGGGAGCTACTTGACTAAGTGCATTGTTTTAAGATTTAAAAAGTAAAGAATATTTTATATTTTTATGTACGTTTCTTTGCAAAGCTATATTTAATTATAATTTTCTTTAAAGTATATTCATATAATTGAAGAATATTTTGTATGTACCGGTACATCCACCACATATTTTATTTCACCGAGTAAGTTTTTATTATTTTATTTTTAATTGTAGCCCTTATATCGTGGCTAGCGATTCGGAATGTAATTGTGATATTAAAATTGCATTTATGCTTCTAACACAATAAAGTGCTATAAATTAAGACACTTGGCGGATTTTCTCATCTTTATTTAGTTGATACGTGTAATTTTTTCACACGTATCAACTAAATAAAGATGAGAAAATCCGCCAAGTGTCTTAATTTATAGCACTTTATTGTGTTAGAAGCATAAACAAATTGCAAAGCACGGTTTCATATCATCAAAATTAAAATTGCATTTAGAGAAGTCCACGGTTTATACTGGCTTATCGAATAAACAATACGAATGGACCCTAGACCATCACTGACGCGCGATTGACGATTGCCCCTGGATGTCGGCTTCTTACAGAAACACGGCTTCCCTATCATCAAATGTCACGGCACGCTCGTTTTTTATAATATAAGATTGTTGGATTCAGCTTTAGATCGTCTGTTTTTAAAAAAGAAGCGGTGAAAATTGCTGGTTTTTAATACATGGACTATTTTGATGCATCATGTTTTCGTGTACAACGCATTCTCATTCTCGATAGAGGAGTGTATAGCCATACGCTTTGTACTCCGGAAGAAACGGGAGGGGAGATCGCTCAGAGACCGAAGAGACGGCCTTATCGAAGACGACCAGTCCGAGGAAGACAGGAGCGAGGTCACAAAGCGACCAAAGCAGGCCTTATAGGAAACGGCCCACTCGAGAAGGGGGAACAGAATGCCTTTCGGGAGGACTTGGAGGGGAAGTTGGCCCCTATTCAGGCGTCATTGGCAAGGAGGAAAACCCGGAAAAGCTCCCGCTGCCAGCTCGTCCGAGTGAGGCGCGAACCCCCGATCGAACTCCGGTGTTTAGGGTCTGTCACCACCATTAAGCGGAGATGGAGTCTACTCGGCCACGTATACAACGCATACAGCTTCAAACCACTTATAAAGAACTCTCTGGCTATTATGTCAGCCAACCACTGCACTGAACTGGTTTTATAAGGCGTGTCATTAATGAAAAACTAAAACTGCAATACTAATACAAGTATGTAGAGTAGCAGTATTATCTTAGAGTTTAAACAAGAAGGACACGGGTGTTTTGTGATAATTTATTAAGTAAAATTTTACCCACTTGAAAAATAATTAGAAGAGTCAGGACTCCTATAATTAAATACACACGCTATCATGCCAAATTTCGTTTTTTATAGACGCCAACACACATACACGGAATATTTCCTTCTTTTTTTGTTTACTTTTTTGGGTTCAGGTAAAACGTGGAGATTTACAAAAGACTTTGAGGCTCTGAGGATAAAATTTGACACGATTGTAATGCTTTCCCTTGTTATGTATATATAACAGCCGGGAAAGTAAAATTAAGAATGTTTAGAAATGCTATTATTGTTACTGAATATTTTGTATCGTTTACAAACGTTTAAATAAAGATGTTAAAGAAAGAAATGTCTTGTTATTTATTTTCAAAATTAAAAAAAACAGCTAAGTAGGGTCATTTTGACTCGCACCATTTAATTTAAGAGTTAAAATTCTTCCTTTTTTTTGCACACTTTTACACAACGAGTTAGAATATTCTAGCTCGTCGCCTTTACAGTACACAAATACCACGGCCCCTTGACTTAAAGGAAAATGGCGGACGTGTATTCAATATTCTTCAAACACTCTTTATAATATATTTTAGCTCGTTGGGTACGTTTACTGTATAAAATGAAGCATTATAGAAATGTAAGAATACGAAACCTACAAATAGAATATATATACTGTAGTGGTGGTCAAAAATTTATCATCTAACTTACTATAAAATTTACAATAATTAAACTATAAAAAAAATAAAATCTGACTCTTGTAGGTCGGATGACTTTTATTTTTAAAAATTCTTTTCCTTCCTGTAGGCACAAAGATGGCCTGTTTTTATTTTTTATTTTTTTTAGTAAGCCTATTATGCGTTCGGCCAAATACATAATTTGGCAGCCGGATGGCTGAAGCGATAAAGAGTCGCCCTGCCGCTCTTGGGGACAAGGATTCACTATTGAATCAGGATCCTCAGAAAAAATTTAGAAATAGTTTATTCTTTATACGTCGGGTCCCGTCCGTCACCATCCGATCGTCTCTAATGTGCCCGGCCGAATTTTCGATGATTATGATAATCATCTTACAAGTTAGATGAAATCGTCTTAGCACTCTCGAGGCGAAAAGTTCAACAATAGTCTAAATTAAATGAAAATAATTATTTTAATTTTTATTCAATTTTTAATCTGTAGAAAAATATTCGTAGAAGAGATTTCGTTAATTTAATAGAAAATGATGTCAAAGTGAGAAGAGAAAAATAACTGGCAACGTTGTACATTCAAGGATAGGTAGACACGTTACGTTAAATTTCGAGATCTGAAGAAATATCGTAAAAAATGCCTATCCATTTTGTTCCTCCGGTGATAGAAGATAACCCGAGTGGATGGGGACCTTGCTCCGTCCCAGAACAATACAAAAAAATGCCCTATCAACCCTTTTCGAAGAGCGATCGATTAGGAAAGGTACGGTGCATAAGCCTAATGACGAACATATGGCTTTGTAATAAGTTAACGTTAAAAACGGTAATTGAAAATATAAAATGTTTCGTATTAAAATGTATAATTGGTATAATTTTTTCAGGTAGCGGATTGGACTGGTGCAACTTACCAGGATAGAAGATATGCCAGTGAGTAAAGTTTTGGTAGAAGTTACTTTTAGATATTTTGTATATAATACTTTTATTCAGTCTGTACAATGTACAATGCCAATACCTCTGAGCTTAAGATACAGTATAACATATTATAGAATGTTTAATTTACATTAAAGTAATTACAAATGGTTGAAAATAGGAAAAAAAAAACTGCGACAATGATTATTATTTACAATAGAAGTTATAATGATAATAAATAACAATACTGTAATATACATTATGCACTAGGTGTTATAATGCCGAATAGGAACTTCAATATACGATTAAAGGCAGAATATGCGTAAGAAGCATTGATGCTACACATTTTTGATTGAATAAGAATGTACGTAAGCTGAACTGGTAGTCAATTTGCATTTTTTACCGGATGCTCGCCCTCTGGTGTTTAAAAACAAAACTATTCTATCTGGGTCGTTTGATTCGTTCCTGTGTATTATCAGCAGTAAAGATGAAAAGCGATAGAAAAAGCAGCGCTTACTGTTGGTTCCAAATTGCAATTTCAAAGCCTTACGAGAGCCTGATAAGTTTTTGTCTATTCCCAGACGAAAACGGGAAAAACAGATGATTATTTGGAAATTGATCGGTTATATTTATGAGCTCTGAATTCTGAAAGAATGGATTAGACTGTTAAGAATTGGCAGTTTCCCGATTGTCCGGCACGAACAAGTTATGCTGTCAATTTTAAAACATATTTTGTTAAAGTTTAAAATACCAGTAATTTTGTATAGGACACGGGGCCGGATTTAAGCATTTCGAAGCCCTAAGATGAACTCTGTAAGGCTCTTTACCAACCCTTCACAATTTTAGAAGTCAATCATAAAAAAAAGAATTAAATCAGACTATGACTCTGATATTGGAAGAAAAAGATGTGATGATTCACTAGTCTTCTGTTTTATAACTAAGTTTAATTAAATTTTTATACCCATTCCATTAAAAATTTTTTTTTAATTGGTTTTATCAATTTTTTTAAAAAGATCTTAAAAAGATGTTAATTCTTAGAAAAAAATTAATGAAATACTACACAAAATAAACAGTAAAGTATATTTTGTTGGTTTGTAAAAAATGTTTATTACAAAATCTGACTTCAATTTTCTTTTTTGTACAAATGTTTGAGGTTTCTTGAAAGTCGAGGCTTTTTAGTTGTAAATCCAACCCTGGTGGGACAATGTCAAAACTGATGGTTTTTAACACAAAGGGCACAAATATGTATAGAATGATCTCACTCATTTGTTTCGATACCACATAATGACGTGTCCCGCTAATAATAATTGTTCTCCTTCTATAAAATTTCTCAATAAATAGCTACAGGCAGTATATAACATTATATCAGACAGTAATATATAATTAATTTTATGTTACTAGTTACAAGTGACCCAGATAAAGTAGCCATTTTGTAAAAATGCAGCGCCCTCTATAGTTCATGAAAAATGCGAATAAGTAAAGTTCAATGTCTCAGACATGGAAGAGTGCTGATGTTGTAATATTTTTTAATCTAGTCACAGAAGTATTCGTAGTTTTGTTTCTTAAGGAGGTTCTTGTGTCCCTCTTGCCAGATGTCTCTATTTTCTTCTACTGATGTTTTTAGGAAGAGTCTCTCTCTCTTTAGTCCAATGCAGTTAAAGATGTAATGTTCACTTCCATCAGAGACGCTGCAGGTGGTGCACAAGTTCGAATGATGTAGTTTAAAGCGATAGAGGTATGAACAAAACCTTCCGTGACCATTCAGGAATTGATGTAGTGGTTAATGTGCATCCAGTCGTGTAAGTAATTTTCAATAATAGGTATAAACTTAAATTTATTTGATTATGGTTATCCATCCAATTAGTTTGCCATTTCTTAATAAGTTCCTGTTTTAGATTAGCCTTGATGTGCCTTATTGAAATTTTGGAATAATCAAGTTGCAAGTCTGTGTTCTGAGCTGCAGACTTTGCAAGCTCATCTGCTCTTTCATTTCTTATCGTGCCTACGTGAGCCTTGGTCCAATTAAAGTTGATAATATTGGAGGTAGTCATGGTTTCTTTGATAATGTAGTTTGTGAGCAGGTGATATGTTGAGTTTTGCAGATATAAGGCCCAGATGCAGTCAGTAAAAATAGAGTCGAGTGTTGCTGAATTTGCTGTTGCTCCATTACAGGGCCTTAAGAATGGCTAATAGCTCAGCCTGAAAGGTGGAGCAGCTAGAGTGTAGCCTGTAACTGTTCTTGTGAATTTCAACGTTTCTTTGGTAGGCCACGAAGCTGCTTCCCATGCTGGTGTCTTGTTTGGAGTCGTCAGTAAAAATATTTATTACTGTATAGTCATTGGAGTTAATTGTAATTGTTGGTAGATGGTAGGGGCTGATGTTATCCCTGTAATCTACAGTTTCTCTATATCTCTTGCTTGGAAAGAATCATTGGCTATGTTAATGCTATCCTCTCTGAGAATATTCCAGATGTTTGCATAGTTCTCTGCGAGGAGGTTGATAGGGGCTTTTTTTGTGATGACTTGAAGGCTAGTGGTAGGGCAAGTCTTGTAGCCTTTGGCAATGTATAGAAGTGCCTTCTTTTACGATGATATTAGCTTTCATGAGATATGTGATTTGTTAATGGCTGTTGCCCATGCCCTGCAAGCATATATGATAATTGGTATATATACCATGTCATAGATGGTGGCCATGGCTTTTAAGTTCAAACCCCATGTATTCTTTGCAAAGCAAACCAGGTTTTGAAATATTCTTCCTGTAGTGTTAGAGATATACTCAATATGGTTTGTCCAGAGAAGCATATGATCCAACAGGATTCCAAGATATTTAAGTGATTTTTAAATTTTTATTGTGTTTCCTCTCATTTTAATTGTTGGGACTCTCTTATAAAGGTGTTTTTTGCCAGGTTCGGTAAATATAATGCCCTGCGTATTGCTGTGTTTGAAGTGTAATTTATGACTAGAGCCCCAGTGTTCAATATTGCTGAGGATCTTGTTGCCTCTTAAATCCAGTTCTGCTTGGGAGTTGGTCCTTAAGAATGAAGACATAGTCCACGTAGGCAGTGGTGCCGTCCTGCCCAAAGTTCTGAGTTAAGAAATTGTCAAATAGCACGTTCCAAAGGAGTGGGCTATATGCTGAGCTTTGCAGACACCCCCTGGTAATTTTGTGTTCGATTTGAAGTAATTATTGCCAGATTGTAGAATGGCTTTACAGTTAGATGATGTAAATATTGTAATGATGATGTAAATGTTTGCGGGGCATTTCAAAGTTACAGAGTTAATGGAGCACCATTGGCCACCATGCAGAATCAAACGTTTTGCAGGTGTCCAAACTTATGCCCATAACGTACTTATTATTTGCAGATATGACAAAACATTGTTAATGACCATTTTTATTGCATCTGTTGTAGATTTATGTGTTCTAAAACCATACTGTTTTTTGTTTAGCTTGTTCATTTCAAAGTGCCAGTTTAGCCTTTCAGTCAAGAGTTTTTCCAATATCTTTCCCATCACTGGAAAAGTGAGATGGGTCTTACGCTGTCTGTATTTCCAGGCTTGGGAATAGTCACTAGCCTAGCAATCTTCCAACAGTTGGGAAATGTACCATTTTTCAAGCAGTTATTGTATATATTAGACAAAATTTGTATATATTAGACAAAATTTGATTGTCCCAGATTGCTTGAGGTATGTCTGCTGTTATACCATCTACACCTGGGGCCTTTTGTTTAATTGTTTGATGACAGTATTAATTTCTACATAAGTAAATAATGGGCTGTTCTTGATAGCGTATGGTTTATTCATCTCTGCTCTGATGCTTCTATGTCATTCATTGTCATCTGTTTCTATATCATCCACACAAAGCTTGTTGAATTGAGAATTTATGGTTGAGGTAAGGTCATGAGTATAATTGCTTCCAGTATAAATGGTGTGTATAGCATTGTTAGTTTTAAGCTTGTTAGTGGATAGCTTAGTAATAAATCCTCAGGGATTTTTGGAAGCCTTACTACAGTAATTTCTCCATGAGGTGAGCTTTGCTTCTTTAATTGCTGATTTTATAAATTTTCTAGTGTTGGAGAAATTCTCTGTTTAGTTCGGTTCTGTCTGGTTACTGATGGCATTCCTGTTAGCTTTTCCTAAGCTTGTTATTCCTTTTTCTGAGCATGGTTAGTTGATTGTTCCACCAAGGAACGGGTTTTTTGTTCATGCATATCTTAGGAATAGAGATTACAGGCATCTACTATTGTGTTAATGTTCTTTTCTATAATTTCCACAGTTTTCTCTTTGCCCATGGAATCATGAGGCCAGTGATAGTGTCTTTCTTTGTAATCGTTGAAGATGTTCCAATCTGTTCTGGCCAAACAGAATCATTGTTTGATGAAGTCATCCCTGTTGATAGAATGGTGTATGTCAAAACTGATATAAGCATGATTGCTGAGGCTATTATCCCCAGGACGCTTCAGTTATACATTAAGTTTTTTCCATGAGAAGTTGATACTGTAATTAGGGATTGCAATTGCTGGATCCCTCATCCAGCAATCCAGCTGGATCCAGCATATTCTTCGGCCTGCTGGATCCAGTACTGCGGATCCGCAAATACTCAATTAACTTTCTAAATAATGGCACAAAATAAAAGTCTACATTGTTGGTGTTGCCGCATTTCTACGTGTGCTATCACTCGGCAGAGAGGGCGATGTTGCCATTCAGTGTGGCATATGCTACACCCCCTCTCTACATTGCACTGCCTGACCTTTTACCTCTGCTGATCTAATTGCCAGTTGACTTTTCACTCTCGCCAAATAAACTGTCTTCGCGCTAAATAAAATAAGTAATTCCTCTTCTAGTCCTGGTGTATAATTCTAATTTATGGTCGGTTGTGACGTCAATGAATCATGTGATGGAATGATCTTAGTTTAAGCCTATGGAGAGCTGCAGCCTTGTGGCTTGTCCACGAAACCTAACCTATAAACTGACTGTAAAAGCTCTCTGTAGAAGAGAGTCGAGTTTGATAACTGCTGACACAACCCTGAAATTTATCTTAGACAAACTAAAAACCCAGGACACAAGCCAGGACGCAAAAGAATCAGAGAAGGCGTCTTATCAAGGTCACAGGGATGCTGATTTACATACAGAACCCGAAAAACTATAACCAAAAAGTTAGAAAGCACGATTATTCGTTCACAATACCAAAAAAAATGTAATGTGCCAGGAGATGAAAAATATGCTGAATTGAGTAAATACATATGTAGTGGAACCAGCAGCAATGGCTGAGGATATTATGGAAACGGAAAACGATGATCCAGATAACCCGCATTCATTCCCTGAATTTCACATTGGAATAAGAATCAGAGATCCAACTAAAGCGTGAGAAAGAAAACTTCATGAAACAAAAAGAAACTAGTACAGAGAAGGATTATGATAAGTTATTAAAGAAGGAAATGGCTGTTTATGAACGTAAGGGAGTCAAAGGTAAAAACTTTTCTTTAATTTATGATTATTTGATGACCCTGAAGCCAACTAGCATAGAGGCAGAAAGAGCCTTCTCCGCAGCGGGATATATATGCAGTTCATTAAGAAGTAGGTTGGGAGACAACACCATTAATAAATACCATTTGTTTCTTGAGACCCAACTTCCAGAAAAGTCAAAAAAAAAAAATAATAATAATAATAACAGAACTGATTAATTTAATTTTATTTAATCCTTTAAAATACTTTATTCAAGACAAGACTAATATTTTATAACTTCTAATTCTATTAACTAAAAGTTTTAAACTTTTATTCTATAAGTGGTTAGTGGCCTAGGCTAGGCAATTTTATTGTTAAAATTAGTGAGAAACTGAGACTATCTAGTTAGTTAAATAGTTAATTAAATTAATGAGTATCAGTATCTTAGATATATGATGATATGAATGTATATCATTCATGATTGTGATAATAATAACTAACTACTAGACTACTACTAATTAATTACTCACTACTTTACTAACACTAATAATTAAATTACTTATAAATAACTACAGACTGATATGTAGAGCCTATATAAGAAAACTGGTAAGACTGATAGCCACTTAGCCACTGATTATCCGTCTTTACATTATTATAATATAATATATTAATATAAATTAATTAGTAGAATTACCTCTACTATTATTTAACTTAAAGATTACATTATAATTATAATCTAATCAAACATTTAAAGTTAATTATCTCTATCTCAAGTGTTAAACCGAACCAAAATTAAGTTTACTACCTAAATGTGTAAGAAGTTTTACTGATTTACTGTATAGTGACTAGTCTAAATAATAAAAGTTTCTTAAATATTTAAAAAAAGTGTTTTATTTCTTTAAAAAAAAACCATAAATTACTGGATAGATAGATAGATAACACTTTATTGCACCAAAAATACATCTGCGCTGGATCCAGCTGGAATGATATTGATCCAGCAAAAATCCAGCTGGATTGAAAACACTGCTGGATTGCAATCCCTAACTGTAATGTCCACCCAGCTCTCACCATTGCTTGATATAAATGTTGGGGGTGAATCTTGATCATTATGTAAAAGCAAGTTATGTGAAGCCAGAAAGGTTTCAAATATTCTTCCTCTCTTGTCAAGCTTTTCCCCTCCCTATGTAGGGCAGTGTGCATTTATGTCCCCAGCAAGAATGACCGTCTTTCCATTGGCTTGGTTTAAAATGTTAGTAGTATGGTCTAAGAGGGCTTGAATATTCAAGTCTTTAGGAAAGTAGATGTTATGATAAAACTGTAACTATGGCAGGTGACTTCTGTACAAACGATATACTCGTTGCTTAGTTCAGAGTGCAAGAGAATTGAAAGATTGTTATTTGGTGCTAAAGTTAAACTCCAGGGATAATCTCTAGTTCCATTGAGCATCATGACGTCAGTGGGGATGCAGGCCAGTTTATTTCTGATGCAATATGGCTCCTGGATTAGGCATATACTGTATCATAATTGTTCAGCTTTTTGTTGAGAAGGGAAGTTGCATCAATCCCCCTCCCCAAGTTGACCTGCAGAATCATAATTTGATTATTAGAGTTCTGACCCATAGTCAGTTTTTTCTATAATTGTCTTCCTGATTTTTTGGAATGTTGGGCAAGAGTCATCTCTTGCATTGTGTTTGTGATTAAATTCTTCTATTCTTACAATTGTTGCATAGGATCCTTTTGTGTACTTGGGCAATCTTTAAAGCTATGCTTCCCCATGTTGCATTGCTTTAAGAAATTTGAATTTTTATAAATTAAAAAGACCAGAATGTTCCTAAATTATATGATGGACAGTGGTATTTGTGTTTTCTTACTAATATCACAATGAAATTAAACAAACTTAATAATCAGCTTGAAGGTGAAAACAAATTGATCAGACTTATGAAAATATAGAAGCATTCATAGCAAAACTCAAACTTTATGAAAGTCAGAAAACAAAATTCAATGGCTGTTGTATTCAATAATCACCTGATGATGATAAGTTTATGCTACTGAAAGCTGAAAGTACTAGCAAACATTTTCATATGCTAAAAGTTGATATGCCACAACACTTAAGTGTAGTTATTATAGGAATAAGTACTTATGAAAATATGGTTATTGGTATTAATTAAAATTTTTCTTTTATGATTATTTTTATTTGTTATTTTTAGAGGAAATTTGATTTCAAATTTCCTCTAAAATTTATAACAAGTTTAGCGTATTCATAGAATTTTTTCATTTAATATTAATTAAATTCATTCATTTTCAGTTAATAAACTTATATAATTTTAGATAAATACGTATCGCAGTTTGGCACTGGAAGCCAATATGCTTATTATCATGAAGAAGATGAGAGCACTTTTCAATTGGTAGATACTGCTCGTGTGCATAAACCTCTTCATCAAAGAGGACGTTTTAGAATGAATCAGGTAAACTTAAATATGTACTTTCAAATGAATAAATTAAAACTACACTATTTTACAAAAAAATACTTAATTTTATTATTTTTAAGGAACAAATACTTAATATTTATTTTTTCAAAATTCTGTTCAATGCAAGAAAATTGTAAAATTTAGGATAGTAATAACTTATACAATAACTTGATAATTAATTTAAATAATCAATCAAACAGCTGGATTTTTCCAGAGTAATCTAAATTAAAATATTTCTAATTATTAAATTTGGCATGAGATGGTAGCTTAGCCTCTAGCCAAATTACTTAGTTTGTGAATAATTAATTAGCCTTAATGTAATGTGATAAGAATTTAGCTGTTCAATTGATTATTTACAATAGTAATATTTAAAATTGCCTGAAGTTTGAATTGTTTTAGTTTTGCATCTATTTTATTTATAAATCTAAATATACGTCTAAATAATAATATATAATATATAAATCTGTGTAATAAATTAGGAGAGTTATCATATATTTATTTTTATAATGTAATTTAGATACTGGATTGAGATTTTATAATGTTATTACTAAAAAAACAAAATTTAGAAACTGAGTATTTACTATTAATCACAGCTTGTTTTATTAAATTTAATTTCTTGTTAATATATCATCAGTATAAAAAATGATATATGCTCTGGATATTGGTTGGATTGTTTTATTAACTGAAATACTCCTATTAGAATATTTAAAATGTTTGTATAAATTTGTTATTGTCTGTTCAAATACATTGAATTAAAGGATCTAATATGTTGTCATCATTGTGATTTATTTGCACCATTATGTATGCAAATAGAGTAAAGGGCTAATTCTTCTGAAAATGAAAAAGCAAAGAATGCATATAAACTATAATCAGTTTGTGGTGTTGAATTTTGAGAGATGTATGGTTGTAAAAATGTTTAATATGATCTGATATCAACCCATAGTTTGTATTAGTAACAAGAAATCTATTGAAATAAAGAGTAAAGGAGCACAAAGATTTTATCAAGAGGGAGAGCTCAACACTTCTTTAACAGAGTACATTTATATATATGGTCAAACCTGTCTATAACAGAATCCCACGGGACTGTGCAATTCTTTAGTAGACAGGTTTCTGTTACATACAGGTTGTCTACTACAGGCATCTCTCGATTAACGCAATAAATTCCTCAATGCTACTGTGTACATTAAAATTGCATTACTCAAATACAGTGGTACTTGACCAAATGATTACCACCTGCTAGAACAAATTTTTGGTTAATAGCAAATATTTTTATTGTAAACTCTTTATAGATTGGAGTTTCTGTACATAATGCCTGTATTTTAGAACCCTTGTTTAACTTCAATAAGATCTTTTTGTAAAAAGCAGACTAATGTTTTCGATCCTTCTCTCTCTTCAGATCTTAAACTTTCTTACGAATGTAAGACTTGATTCATTTGTCATATAATCAAAGTATTTTAAAATTTTCAATATTCTACAAAAAAAATGCACATTAGGATAATTTTTTATTTTGAAATGTTGTTAGACATTCTACAAAAAGAATATGCAGCTGGAACACAATATTTTTGTTTTAATTTAATTTTGTCATTCATAAAAATGTTTTCTATGATAAAAATGAGTAATTAATTTAAAAATAAAATGAAACCGTAGAGCTGCGTGCCTTTCTCGGATAAAATTATATTCAATTCATTTTTTTTTAATTGATGATCGTGTTCTGCACACATTATGTTGGTGACACACTAAGATTTGTTGCAAAATTACAGGTTGTTTATCTATTTTTAACAATTTATACTCTCAATTTTTCTTTGTTGACAGTGTTTCAGTACTCCATATGTTTTGTTTCCTTTAGTTCAAAATTTCCTGAACAAAACTTTCAAAACCACATTTGAAGTTTAGGAGTATCTTCCCCAAACACACTATGAGTAGTTTTTTACTGTTTGTATAGCATTATATCCTTTAAAAAACTTAAAAAGCATACTGTCTGATATGCATTTTAACTGCAGACATTTTGACACAGTTTTATTCAAACAAATTGTAACATTGTTTGAATAAAATTGTTTACCAGCTTATTTTAAACAAAGGTTTAAATAAGCTTGTAAACAAAGAATACAATCTGATATTAGCAATAATAGAGCTGTGTGCTTTCCTCAGACAAAATTACACTCGTTAGCAATGTGTGTTAAAGTTCAGAACTGTTGTTCAATATAATTAAATTACATATTTATGTTAAGTAAAGACAGCTGTTAAAAATATGCAAAAAAACTTTCTGTTGCACATAGAAGAAGATACCATTTTCATGTTGAACAGGTCTTGCTATATACAGATTAATTTACAGCTGTTAATTTTGATTTTTGAAGAAAATTCAAGGGATTGAAGAAATCTTTTATTAATGACAGGTTCCATTATAGACTGGTTTACCTTATATAACAAAGCAATATTGATGGGGAAAGACAAGTTATTATGCCAGAGAGGAGAAAAATCTCCACACAGTTAGTCAAAGGTTAACAATAACAAAAGAGAAAGATCAGATTATTAACAAGATGTCTGAAGGAATAGGACTTGACTTGTGAATTTGGATGCTAAGAAAGGATATTTGAAAAATGCTGAAAATAACTAAAAATAGAAATATAGAACTGTTAGTTTTAACAAGAATTAAACTTTGTGATTTAAAGCTTAATGATTTATAATAATTGCCTATATAAATGTAAGATTGTTCTGACAAAATTTAAAATTTGAAAGTATCGGTTTAAATTCAGAAATTGGTGTTCCAATTTGAAATTCTAATTTTATGTAAGTTTTACTGAAAATTCATTTTCAAATAAGTTCAATTTTCTGGAAGAGTTTAAGGTATATCTGATGATATGTTGAAGTAGCTTGAAAAACGTTTATATGAATAAATAAAACAACACCTTTTTTATGTTTAATATTAATCCTTAAACTTGTTAGCATTTTAAGATTAATTTAATTTTACTTAAAAGTTAGAATATTGTGATGAACTCCAAGTTGCTCTTATTAATTTAACAAAACTTCTGCTTTATTGGAATTTGTTTAAAAAATTAACTCTTAAATAAACCTAGTACAGTCGACCCCCGTATAAGATCATTGATTATTCCGTTTTATATGAATTCCATGTTGTACGAGTCACTTAGATTTTACAAATACGTGTACCGGGCTGTGAACGGCTCACGTATTTGTAAAATTTAAGTGACTTGTACAACATGGAATTCATATAAAACGGAATAATCAATGATCTTATACGGGGGTCGACTGTACTTTTAAGTTGTATGTTCATCTTTAGGGACAGAAATGTTGAAGTTATAATTTTATTTTTTGGAATTTAGCGAATGCTTTTGCTTTTGAAAGGAGTTGTAAAACTTGAAAGTGAGAGAGTTGTAGAGTTTTAAATTTTTTATTTTGTACAAGTTTCTATTAAACAGAATTTTGTTGTTACATCGATATTAAAAGTCCAAATATTACAGCTAATTGAAAATAATAATTATTTCAATTAAATATAAAATGAATTTTCACATATGATATCTTACTATGTTGTTAGAATACATGAAATTAAAGAAAAAACACTGTAAAAAGCAAGTTAAAACTAGATTTTTAAACGTTTTCAACATAAGTTGAAAACGTTTAAAAATCTAGTTTTAAGTTATATGAAATACTTCTGCCAGAAAAATTTACAAACAACTAGAACATAAAGGACATCTTAGATTTAAATTATGATGACATTTTGCATAAGCTTTACTAAACAGTTTTAAGTGTAAAAAATATATTAAGTTTAAAAGCAGTAGAATTTTGATTTAATTGCCTACTGTGTAAAATAACTTATTTATAAGAAGAAATTGTGATCTTTTTTATATTTGTTATGATACAGTATTGTTGAAAGTCTATATGGTAAGATATATACTTTCAGTATACAGTGGTACCTCTGTATACATCTGCTTTAGAAACAAATTTTGCTCGGTATACGACTTAATTCAATTACATGCGCCATCTATGAACAAGTAGCATTATAGTGTATTAGACCAGACTAGATGTTTGCGGTGCCATGGTTTATAACTTTGTTAAATTTCTTCTGATTTTAATTTGTAAGTAAAATTTTATTATNTCTATGAACAAGTAGCATTATAGTGTATTAGACCAGACTAGATGTTTGCGGTGCCATGGTTTATAACTTTGTTAAATTTCTTCTGATTTTAATTTGTAAGTACAATTTTATTATTTTTATTAATCATGAATTGCAAAAAGGCAAATGAAAAGCAACAGAAAACTAAAAAAATGACTAGAATCACAATGGAACTGAAAAAAGAGATTGTTGGGAAATATTAAGGTGGCATGTGTGTTCGAGATTTAACTGTTGCATACCATATTCCGAGAACAATGATATTGACAATCGTGAAAAATAAAGACATTATTAAATTTGCTAACATTGCGAAAGGGGTTAAATCAATTTCTAAACAGAGATCGAAGACATTAGATCATGTTGAGAAATTGCTTTTGCTTTGGATAACTGAAAAACAGTGTGCTGGAGACAACGTATCGGAAGCAATTATTTGCAAGAAAGCTATAAAGATATATGCTGATCTCATGAAAAATCAAGCAGGAACTAGCCAGGAAAGTGAGGTGTTTAAAGCTAACCATTTTTTATATGAGAACGGATTAATCATTTTTTACATTACTTCTTATGGAAAAGGTTGGTTTGGTATACATTCTGTTTAGTATAAGTCCAAACACCAGGAGTGAATTAAGGTCGTATACCGAGGTTTCACTGTATATCTTACCATATAGGGATTTCTTCATTTTTAACATACATGGTAGGTTTAACATTGCTTTTACCCCACTGTAGTATTAATAACTTTATTCTAATCACAAAATTATAATTATAACAATAATCATTTTTTATATATAATGGACTTATCATATGTATGTACAGTGGTGCCTCGTGAAACGTACTTAATTTGTTCCAGGTGCACGTCTGTTAAGTGAAAAGTCCATTATACGAAATGCATTTTCCCATAGAAATACATGTTAAAACATATAATTTGTTCCACAACATAAAATAACCATACTGTATTATAAAAAAATGAAAATGGAGCAGTCACCAATTATGCCGGGTAGTCAGATGTTGTGAGGAGGAGGTGGAGGAACACTTTCTTTACACATTCATATAGATACAGACTTTTTACACATTGCAGCGGGTCTCTTTTTATTGTTTTTTAATCAGAGTCAGATTCAGGAGAGGCTACTGGAGCAGGGTCATCTCCTCTTGTTCCATTCTTTGTTTTTTGGCAGCTGGCTTCTTGAAAAACATGTCCAAGATAGTCTGTTTCTCTCTCTTCTTCAACCCCTGTCGAAAATGGCGGACAAGGGTGTCATTGTAGAGATCATTGATCCTATTGGCCTCAGCTCTGTTTGGATAATAAGTGTTGGTAAACTCTTTAACCTCTCCCCATTTGACAAAGGTTTTTGTCAACTTTCACTTCGTCTGATGATGTCTTGCTTTGTTTCAATTGAAATCACCTTTCTGTTTTTTTAGAAGCTATGATTTGCACAACACTTGAATAAATGTAAATACCCTGCACTGAGGTGATGTACATAATAAACAAGGGAGCAAGCTGAATCCCAACGGGAGCTCTGTACTTCAGATATACTAATAATATATTATAAAAATCGCAGATTGTCATTGGCAACGGCAAAAGAGTGGAAACATCATTCGCACTTGTTCACAGAAAGACCATTGTTCGCCTCATGCAACTGCCGAATGGAAAGTCCGTTGTTTGCAGTGTCCGTTATTTGAGGCGTATGTTATACGAGGCACCACTGTATGTGATAAGAATAAAGTTATACATAGTGTAATTATGTAAATTTTAAAAAATAAATCTTTGTCCTAAAAATTATTTTTGTTAATTTTCAAAATACTACACATCAGAAATTTTTACATGAAGGAGGAGTAGGAGAATATAGAAGTAAAATAAAATGATAAAAAAGTTTTTCTTTATACCAAGTTAATAAATTAAAATGCTTAGAGTGTTAAAATATAATTCAAAGAAAACAGTATGGTAATATTTAATATCTATATATTTGTATTACTATTTATTAATATTTGACTGACATTGTTATGGAAGAACAATTTAAAATTTGAACAAAATTTTATTCAGTTTTCTGTTGTTATTTATTGTTCCTGGAAAAATAATGAATATTTTAAGTTTGCCTATGTGTACATGTCAACATCAGTAATGTTTTAATTGTATGCTCTTATAATCATGAAATAGAATGTATTGTAAAATTCCAAAAAAAAACTCTTTGTATTTTTATCATTTTACAAATGTTCATTTTAAGAACTTTCCATCAAAATATTTTATTATTAAAGTTGAACAACAACACACAACACTGGGGAATAGTCCACAATGTACACTACGAAATTGATGACTGGTGTGGAATGAAAAAAACAAAACAAAAATTTACCACAAATGTTTTCAAACTCCCCAGAGTTCTTCAGGTGTTAAATGGATGTCCGATGGAATGTAAAAGTTTTGTATATAGATGATATCATTATTTTTCAAAGCTTTTACATTCCATTGGACATCCATTTAACACCTGAAGAACTCTGGGGAGTTTAAAAACATTCGTGGTGATTTTTTTTGTTTTTTCTTTGCACACTGGCCATTGGTTTCTTAGGAACATTATTAAAATTGAACTAAGTATTATGCATTGTTTACACTTCCAACAACAATGAAAAAAACTGACCATTTTATTTTATTGTTTGTCTTTGTAAGACATTCACACTAGTTTGTCTTTGTAAGACATCACTGCATTTCCATCTTAATCATTTGTTATATGAAAATTATTCAATGTTTGTCTTTGTCATTGTATTAATGGTATTGGCCAATTGTTGTAGATTTCCCACAACTCTCTTTGAATAAGAGAGGAATGTCTAATCTTGTGTGTTGAAGAAAGACTGGCTTAATAAATTAATCTGTCAACATTGAAGAATTATCAATTTTACTACATGCATCTGTTTTTAAAACAGAAGTCCAGTCTAAAAGTGCAGAAATTCAAGGAATAATGCTAAGCCTAATGTATATTGTGCATTATCTAACATGAAAACTAATGAATAATGTGAACACTTTGGTAATGAATGAATACAACAAAAGACATACATACCATCATTGTTGTCAGCAGCACGCTATGAATGAAGCTTTAGGTGATATGTATTAGGTTGGAGAAAAAGAAATCCATTATTTTGTTGCTAGATGGCTTTAGTGATATATATCTTGTAAAGTATTGATGAAACAAATTCAGACTTATGGTTGTTGGAAGAGTGACATTCCATACTAAAAAAAATTCTTTTACAGTTTTTTGATTGGTCAATTCAGTTGTGAGTTATAGAGTGTAAAAGATGGAAGTTAACAAAGAGAAAATTAAGTATGTTTACAATTTTGCTTGATAAAGGCGAAAATGCAAGCCAGGCAGCTGAAATTGTGAATGGTGTTTATGGTCTCAATACTGTCACAGCCAATTATGTGTAATTTTGGTTTTGTCAATTCTGTTCTGATAATTTCGATGTTAAAGATGCACCTCACACAGGTAAGCCCATTGTCGAAAATGTCAATAAAATCATGGAAATGATCGAAGTAGACAGGCATGTTAGCAATCGTAGTATTGCCCAGGAGCTAAAGATTGACCAAAAAACAGTTTTAAACCTTTGCATAAAGCTGGATTCAAAAAGAAGCTCGTGTTTGCGTGCCACATGAATTGACGCAAAAAACATGATGGATCGAATTTCCATCTGCAAAGTCTTGGCCAAACAGGATTAAATCGACCCATTTCTTAAATGGATGATTACTGGGGATGAGAAATGGGTTACGTATAACAATATTATGCTAAAACGATCATGGTCAAAGTGCGGTGAAGCAGCTCAAATGGTGGCCAAACCAGGATTAACGGCCAGGAAGGTTTTGCTGTGCTTTTGGTGGGACTGGAAAGGAATCATCTATGAGCTGCTTCCATATGGCCAAACACTAAATTTGGACCTCTACTGTCAACAATTGGACCATTTGAAGCTAGCGATTGACCAGAAGCAGCCAGAATTGGCCAACAGGAGAAGTGTTGTGTTTCATCAGGACAATGCCGGCCACACACATCTATAGTGACTCGCCAGAAACTCAGGGAGCTTGGTTGAAAGGTTTTGATGCATCCACCTTATAGTCTGGACCTGGCACCAAGCAATTACCATCGTTTTTTATCATTGCAGAACTTCCTTAGTAATAAGAAATTGACATCAAGAGAAGATTGTGAAAATCACTTAGTTGAGTTTTTCACCAATAGGGACCAGGGCTTCTATGAGAGAGGCATTATGAAATTACTTTTAAAATGGCAACAAATTATAAAACAAAACGGTGCATATTTGACCCAAGTAGAACAATCCAAACAATGTTAAATAAAGTCTTGAAATAAACGTAAAAATAATGGATTTCTTTTTCCCCAACCCAATATTTTGTAATATGTGGACTCGATAGATGAGAATCTTTTTTAGAAATAATTCATCTGTAAATATTAAGAGAATTATGTAACAAATTTATAGTAAAGCAAGTGCAATCATGATAAAGGTTATATGATGAATCTTGTGATATGAATAGGTTATGTTATGATAAGATAATGATTTATTTTGAATTTTACTTTGCTTCAGTTGTTTTTAGAATAAGACAAATGTAATATGTAATAATTTAGCAATGTAATATTATTAATTTAATATTAATATATATGTTTCTTATGAAATGTTACTTTGATTTTACGATTAATAGTGTATTGTAATTAAATTTTATTTTCAGCAACGCAATCTACGAAACCGAGAGAGACAAAAATTAGTTCAGCAACAACAACTTCAAGTTCTCTCCAAAACTGCTAGAGGAAGAGAAAGGTATTGTAGTTGTTATTTGTATAATTTGGGACTACAGAAGAGTAAATGTAGATGCAATTTCAAATCTTTACAATTCACAAACAGCCAAATAATTTTATATATTGAATTTTTTAACCCAAGAAATGTTTTCATGTAGTTTATCATCATCATACTCTAAAAATAGTTTTTAAAAATGATTGTTAAAATATATTGATGTGGTTTTTTTTTTAAGATTTTGTTTATATAGTTTAATTTGATGAGTTAAGAAGCTTATTTTTATGAGTTTTATGCATTCTCAGAACAATATATTCAATTATAAAAATAGCATTTCATTTTAAATTTTAGAATCACTTGAGAATAAATAGTTTGTTTACATTATTGCTTATTCATGATAAAAAATAAAAATTTTAAACTGTTAATTGTTTTTAAAACTTATTGAACTTAATAATGATGATGATAATAAACAGCTCTATTAACATAAAATAATGATAAAACATTTAATGTTATGTTAGTACTAATAACAATAACAATTTAGAATATTTCTAAAATGAACTCAGCATTAGAACATTGCAACAAAGTATGGTATTTGGTGCTCTCAAATATCTTTCATCCTGACATAACTATCTGCTACAAATCTTTCAATTTTCAAACATCAAAAATTAATTGTACATAGAAGCCCAGGATTAATTTTTTCATCAAAAATTAATATTTGCAAAGTGCATTGGATGAAAAGCTCATACATTTATCCACTCACTTTCAATGTAGTTTTACTACAAGGTCTGTTCAAAAAGTATCGGACCTTTGGTCGGTAAAAATAAATTTATTGACTTTGAGGTACAAAACCCTAATCCCCTTCAAAGTAGTCTCCTTGGTAATGTATACACTTCTCCCAGCGTTCCTGCCATTGCTGGAAACACTGCTGGAACGCATCTTTTGGAATGGCCATCAGCCGGTCCGTCGGATTTTGCACGATGTCTTCTCTCGACTAAATTCGGGTTCCTTTTAGCGGCATTTTCAGCTTGGGAAATAGCCAAAGGTCACACGGAGCCATGTGGGGAGAGTACGGAGTGTGACGAACCACAGGAGTATTGTGTTTGGCGACGAAAGCCCGAATCAGATGTGCAGAATGGGCGGATGCGTTATCACGATGGAGCTGCCAAGTTTTGATCGACCACAGATCCGGTCGTTTGCATCGCACAGCATCGGAAAGACGATGAAGGACCTCCTGGAAGTACTCTTTTGCGATGGTTTGGCCTTGTGGTGCGTACTCACGACACACCATCCCATGAGAGTCGAAAGAACTGTCAACATGACCTTTTGATATTGCTGCAGACCTGCCGCGCTTTTTTTGGCCTCGAGGATCGTCCCCGAAAGCCTGCTGAATCTTGCGAATGGTTTACACTCGGGTATCGGCAAGGTTTTTGGCAAAATTTGATGTAATATCGCTGCTCACGTTGTTCAGTCATTTTCCAGCTTAGGGAAATCCGACGAGAGCGCACTACATGACCTCACTCATAGGTTGATTGCCAACGACTGACGCTTCCTGCAGGCGGGAAAAAAATTCAGGGCTGTGCATGACTGTCTCCTCTACAACTCCACCGAAAGAGGCCTGTCGCGCATCATTGGTTTACGCAGAAAAAAAAAGGTCCGATACTTTTTGAACAGACCTTGTATGTCCAAGCTGATCAAAATTGGTGGGTAACCAGCTGCGTTATTTCTTGTTAGTGAAAGATGACTTTTTTTTCTTTACTAATCCTACTCTCTTCTCAAATATTTTTATCTAATTGGTCCAAAAGATTAGCATAGTATTGTTTTATCTTTGGAAGCTAATCTATTAGAATGATTCCTTTAGCATCCCAGAAAACTAATGCCATGATTGTTCCTGCTGATGGAACTGCCCTTGTTTTTTGTGCATAATGATGGACTCAAAGTCTTATCTGTGGTAACAAATCTGTACACAAAATTGGTTACATTTTTCTTGAAACAGTCCATACACTTGAGAAGTCTGAGCAAAAAACGCATTTTCATTTAGTTGTTAAAAATCATGGCATTCGTTTTGCAGCTTGTCTATAAGATTTCCATTATATTGTATTTTTGATGTAAAATTGAAGGTTTTATTAGTGTTGCATTTATCCTTTTTTTGTCTAACCTATCATAGCTTTTATAGTCAGTTTTGGCAACCACAGTTTTATCAACTGCATCATGTTGAAACAACCGATAGTTGGTGAAATATGCCTGTTTTTACATTTGACTCTCAATAACTCAAAGTAGAAGGGATAGATAAAAATTAAAATAACTAAATTCTTACTGGAAGTATTATATAAATATAAAACAAACACCTTTCTCTATTCCAGCACACTTTTAATGCGTTGAAAAACGTTTTCGATCGTTTTAATCGATCATCCTCAGTTCAAAATTCGAACTCAAACGAACAAAGTATTCAAAAAATACAAAAAATTTTTTTACATCGCTAATTTACGACTTTACGCTAAAGC